CCCGCCGCTACGGCGGTGGCCGCAAACGCAGGGGTGGTGGGCGCGCTGAGGGGCGCGCTGCGCAGCGGCACCCGCGCCTTGGAGGCCATGGGGCTGCTGCTCGCGCTCAAAACCCACAGCACAAGCGCGCCCGCGGCGGCGCCGCCGCGTGACGATCATCGCAGCGGCGGCGACGGGGGCCGCAGCGGCGGCGCGGATGGCGGCGGCCGCGGCGGCAGCGGCGGCGGCTCGGACGGTTGCGGCGGCGGCGGCCGCGGCGCGGACAGCCGCTGCAGTGGCGAAAACCTGCGCGACCCTCGGCTCTTGGCCGAGGTGGTGCGCGCCGCCGGGTCGGCGGACTCGAGGGTGTGCCTGCTCGCCTTCCGCTTCATGGGGCTTGGCTATGAGGCTTGGTCGATACCCCTGATGGCTCCTGTCGCAGTCTCTGCGCTGCGCAAAACGGACTGGGAACTCACAGAGTGAGCCGGGGCAGCGCGCCAAGAGGGGAGCGGGCGGCCTCTCCCTTGCCCGTTGTGCCCGCCGCGTGCGGCGCGGCGCGCGGCCTGGTGGCGGTCAGGGGACTTGGGACGGTTTGCTTGAGGAGGGTATCGGCGTGCTGTCATTATGGTGGCCGCCCTCCAGGGGTTGCCCTCTGCTAAGCCCAAGGTGCTGAGCGCTATATGCCAAGCGCCATCTTGCTATACGCATCCACCGCGCAGGAGGGCGAGCAAGATGATGTGCCTGTCCTTCTCGCCCGCCGTCGCCGCCACGCTGCTCCAGCTCGGCGCCTCCAACGCCCTGCGCGACGCCGCCGCGGCCGCAGCTGCCGCCGCCGGCGGCGCGGCCGCAGGAGGCGGCCTCGCAAACGCATGGGGCGGCGGCTCTGACCGTGACGCTGCATGGGCCGCGGCCATTTGGGCGGCGCTCGCGGCCATTCAACTGCCCCAGGAGGCTGCGGCCGGCCGCGCCCCTGGCGTGGGCCCCTCACCCTCTGCGGACGCGCCATCCTGGGCGCTGGACGTTGTGTCCTCGGTGCTCTCTGCGGCGCGCGGCGCGGCGGCCGCTGCAAAAGCGCTGGAGGTGATGCGCGCTGCGCCGGCCGAGGCTCTTAGGGTTCTTGCACGCCACCCCGGGCTGCTGCGGGGCGTCGGCGCGTTCGTGGCCGGCTGCGGGGACGCTGCAGCTGTTGATTGGGGGCTGACATCTGTCAGGGCGCTGGCAAAGCTGGAAAGGGCGGCGTGCGCCAGCGATGATACAGAGGGCGGCTGCGCCGCTGCTTGCGGCGGCGAGCCCTGCGGGCCGGGCGCTCTGGCGGAGCTGCGGCGCTGGCTGAGCATGCTCTCGCGCGCGCCGGACAGGGCCGTTGCATGGGAGGCGGCGGCGGGGCTGGCCGCGTTCGACGCGAGCCGCAGGGCGAGTGCAGGTTATCTCGGTTCGGGCAAGGGCGGCGGCAGCAGCGGTGACGACGACACCGGAACGGGTGCCAGCGCCGAGCGCGGGGCCATGGCTAGCAGTGGCGGTCGCAGCAGCGGGGAGGCAGCGGGGTCGGCCGGTGCCAGCACGTCACAGCAGGCGGCAGGTGCCCTGCCTCCTCAGCCGAAAGAAAGACCCGTCAGGTCGTGCTCAATTTGCGGCCAAACAGAGGCGCAGCTTGGGCGGGCGCCCAAGGCTTGCGCCGGCTGCCGCAAAGTCAGGTGCGCTGGAGTGCTGGGGACTGGGTATACAAACGAGCGTGGGAGACGGCATTTGGCTTACTCACCACTGCCTATCATCCTTGGCATGTTGACTTGTACCTGTGATCGACGGCCGCCTTCAAATGTGAACCTGCAAAATTGACGTCAGGCCGGCTTTGTCAGTGCTGACCAATTGAGCACACATCTATGCCCCTGCTGCCCTCTGCTGCCCGCAGGTACTGTGGCGAAGCGTGTGCCAGGGCAGCCTGGGCGGCGCACAAGAAGGAGTGTAAGGAGCACCAGCAGCAGCAGCTGAAACAGCAGCAGCAGCAGCAGCAGCAGCAGCAACAGCAGCAGAAACAGCAGTCGCAGCCGCAGCAGGCTCAGCAGTCGCAGCCGCAGCAGGCTCAGCAGGCTCAGCATGGGGTAGAAAAGCAGCAGCAGCAGCAGCAGCAGCAGCAGCAGCAGCAGCAGCAGCAGCAGCAGTTGCAGCAGCAGTGATCGTGCTCAAGCGGCGTTGTCTTGGAGCCATCACTTTTTCCAGCTATGGCCCCTGCCCCTGCAGCTTCTGCTTTGTTGCTGTCCCAGTTTTGTGACTGTGGCTGCCGTACTCTCATCCATTTGTTGCCTGCCACGCCTGGCGATCGCGCATATTGATTTCTAAAGCATGATCGTGATTTTCTTGAGCCACAGATGTGCAAACGAACGATGCTCCCTGGGATGGGAGTGCCCCAAGCCATTGTACTTCCTGCGCACGTGCCACTGCCAATGAATGCGGCATGCCCGCTTCTCTCCTACGCACTTCAGCGTCATGCACGGCATCAGGTGCAGCCTGTAACAACCACATAGATCTGTGCTTTATTGCTGGGCGAGATGCAGCTTTTTGTCGACCGACATCAACACGCGGCGTCTTGAGGCGCTGCTGAACCTTAGTGAGAACACCAGCTATGACTCAATCGACCTTAACTACAGTCTCATCCTCTTCAACACAAATGCAACGGGTGGTGGCAGGTTCATGAGCCGGCTCGCCCCCATCACATACATCACGTTATCACACGTCTCCAGCAACGAGCGAAACACCCGGACCTCTCGCCGCAAATGCAAGCAAGCTGCCTCTGCTCTGCTCTTGTTGCTGCGAGGCTCGCGAGGGCTGGGATGTGATAGCGGAGGTGTTGTTAAATCAGAACATTCATTTTGCCGGCTCTGGATCTCATCTAACCAGAGTTTGTGCTGCTCTTTGTCCGATGGGCCGCGCAGCAGAGGAGCTGCAGCAGCTAGAGATTGCGTTTGACCGGGTCAAGAAGCAGCTGCTTGGCCCCACGCACGACATCGTGCGGCAGCAGCTGCAGCTGCCCGAAGCCAACGAGCCGCGCCGTGGATCGAATGGCAGGCAGTCCCCGCTGCAACAGCTGTTGCCACAGCAGCAGCAGCAGCAGCAGTAGCAGCAGTAGCAGCAGCAGCAGCACAGCAGCAGCAGCAGCAGCAGCAGCAGCAGCAGCAGCAGCAGCAGCAGCAGCAGCAGCAGCAGCAGCAGCAGCAGCAGCAGCAGCAGCAGCAGCAGCAGCAGCAGCAGCCGCAGCAATGGCGGCGGCTGTGGCGGCTGTCAGCTATAGGGCTGCGACCGTTGCTCGTTCTTCGGGAGGGCGGGTCTGCGTGGGCAGTTGCCACGATAGCAGAGCAGGGGAGGCGGTCTTGATGGACGTCCTTGCGTCAGAGAATCAGCGGTGACCTGGGCACTTTACAGCAGCGGCCAAGGTATGCTCAATACACGCCATTCAAATGATGCATGTCTGCCATCATGGCGGCCCGGGAGGCTGTTCATCTGCGCCTGGGACTGGTTCCGTCATCGCGACCATACCCCTTGTTCCCCCCTTTCGATGGTTGGGTCGTTCGAAACGCAAGTTGGGTCGCATGTTTTCCAGGCAGGCGGCAGCATTCAGTCCTGGTGGGCTGCGCTTGGCCGGCGGCTGCAGGGGTTGCGGCAAAGGTGGCGCTTGGACCCTGGAGCCATAGGCATGACGTGAGAAGGGCGGCAGACGGATGTCTGGGTGCTGGAATTCATGTGGTCGGAGGAGGGACAGACTACTTTACTACGCCGTGTGGTTGTGGCGTCGTTCCCAGTGTACAGGCAATTTATTGTGGCGTTCCACGCAAGGACAGCCCGTGGGCAACAATGGTGGCACTAACAAGGCACAGCGAGGCCCCTCGGTTCCATGTAGATGGATGCAGTCAGGTGTGAGTGGGCGGCTATTGTGGCACGTGTCTCCCTCCCAAGACTGCAAAAACTGGCAGGGTCATCAGACAACGGGACGTGTTGTCATTTACGAGCATCCCGCACGGGCGCGCTCACCTGGTTGCCCGCCACGCAACAGCCAACTCCAACCGACGAGACAGATCGTGGATCTGACATATTCTCATGATGGTGATGGTTATATTCTGGCAACTTTGCGTGTGGTAACTGCGAGCTGCCTGCACCGTGCCGGGCAGCGTGCACGCCCATTCAAATCATCAAAAATGGCACGCTCAAACGTGACAGGACAGCTGGCAGCCCTCTTGAGCGCCCTGGAGACACAGGAACTCGCCCAGGCCGACGCGGCAGCGGCGCGTCTTGCAGCAACGCTGCGCCGCTCCCCCAAGGACGTGCAGTCAATCAGCGCCGCCGCTTTCGACCAGCTACTGCGCCACCTTAGCAGCCCGGTATCTGAGAGGGCCTACGAAGTCTCCGCGCGCGCCACGTGCCTCTGCTTGGTGGCGGAAGGTGAGGATGACGAACGGATCGCTAGTCAGATCTGCCGCTCCGCCGGGCGCGCAGCCGCCCTTGTGCGCGGTCTGACCAGCCGCGACGCGGCGCTGCGGTTGCGCATGATGGCGGCGCTGCCATGCATGTTTACGGCCATGCCGCATGTCCTCACGGAGCAAGAGCAGGTCGATTTTGAGACGACCCTAGTGGAGGTGCATGCCTGCTCGGCGGCCAGCAGACATCGGCAGCCATGAAGGCGCCCTCGCGCCACCGCCAGCCCTCCGCGCCCCCCCCGGCCCCAGAGCACAGCGTGCTTGGAACACGAGGGGCTGGCAAACCAGAATAACTCTGAAAAGCAGAGGAGCGCGCCGGGTCGCACCCTGTGCCGAGCGACGCTGCGCTGGATGCGTGCCCGACCCCCTCCCCGTCCCCGGGGCGGCTTACTCCGTCGCCTCTCGCACATGTGGACACTTCGCCTTCTGGCAAGCAGGCGCCCGGCTTCCCTGCTGCAGTGGGCCGGCTGCTGGGAGGCAGCGACGAGTCCGATCGCAACTTGGCGGCCGGCCTGCTCTCCAAGATGCTGCATGCCACGCCGGCCGCCGCCGCCCCCGCCGCCGCCGAGGCCGTGCGCCAGCCAGGCGCGCTGCCCGGCCTGATCGCCGCAGGGGGCGCCGATTGGTTCACCTTCGTCTCGCTCAACGCCTGGCAGCGGCTCGTGGAGGCCGGCGTGGCGAGAGAGGACCTGGCGCGGGGCGTCGCCGAGGCGGGGGCGTGCGGGGCGCTGAGGCGCATCGCGGGCGCTGCTCAGCGGCTGTATTCCGACAACCCCGCGAAGGACAAGGAGTTTCTGGTGCTCACCGACGGCCTCACGGCGCTGTGTCAGCACGAGCTCGCCGCCGAGGCTGTCGCCGCAAACACAGGCGTGGTGGGCGCGCTGAGGCACGCGCTGCGCAGCGGCACCCGCGTCGCGGCCGCGCTGAGGCTGCTGCTTGAACTCAAGGGCGCCACAAGGGCGGCCCCGCGGCGCGCTGCAGGCGACCTCCGCGGCGGTGGCGGCGGCGGCGGAAGCCTGGGCGACCCACAGCGCTTACAAGAGGTAGTGCGCGCCGCGGCGTCGGAGGACTCGGATGTGTGCCTGCTCGCCTTCCGATTCATAGGGGCCGGCGCTGGTGTGTGGTCGGTCCCCCTGATGGCTCCTGTCGCGGTCTCGGCGCTCCGCCAACTGAACTGGGATTTCACAGAGTGAGCTTGGGCCATGCGCTAGAGGGGAGCGGGCAGCTTCGAGCACCAGATGCGCCCGCACCTGCGGCGCGGCGTGGGGCCCGGCGGCGGCCAGGCCACTCGCCTGCCCTGTTGCTTGAAGAGGGCATCGCCGTGCGTGTCATGTCGACGGCCGCCCTCCTGGGCTTGCCATATGCGATGCTAAACTCCAGCTTGCTGTACGCGCTCACCGCGCAGGAGGGCGAGCCTGCTGATGTGTCAGCGCCTGTCGCCAGCCACCACCGCCACGCTGCTCGCGCTCGGCGCCCCGGACGCCTTGTCAGCCGCCGCCGCAGCCGCCGTCGCCACCGCCGACGCCGTTGCCGCGGCCCCTCGGCTTGGAACGCCGGCGGCCCTGAGCGCTATGCGGAGTGGGCGGCCGCCATGTTTGCGGCGCTCGCCGCCATCAAACTGGCGGTTGAGCCCGGGGCCGGCCGCGCGCCTGGCGTGGGGCCTGCATCGTCTGCGGCCGCGCCGCGTTGGGCGCTCGACCTCCTGTCAGCGGCGCTCTCTGGGGCACGCGGCGCGGCGCGTGCCGCAAAGACACTGCAGGTTGCGAATATGGCCTCGCCCGGCGTCCTTATGGCGCTCGCACGCCACCCAGGGCTGCTGCGGGGCGCGTTCGTGGGCGCCCGCCGGGACGCGGCTGCTGTGGATTGGGGGCTCAAGCTAGTCAGGTCGATGGCAAAGCTGGAAAATTTGGCGTGCGCTGGCGACGCAACAGGGGGCAGCGGCTGCGCCGCCGCTTGCAGCGGCGCCGGCGAGCCCGGCGGGCCCGGAGCGGGGCTCGCGGAGCTGCGACGCTGGCTGAGCGTGCTCTCGCGCGCGCCGGACAGGGCTGTCGCGTGGGAGGGTGCAGCGGGTCTGGCCGCTTTCGACACGGGCCGGGGGGCGAATGCAGGTGATTTCGGCACGGGCAAGGGCGGCGGCGACGCCGGTAAGGGTGCCGTCACAGGGCGCGGCGCCGCGGCCAGCAGTGGCGCTCGCGGCAGCGACGAGGCCGCGGGGTCGGCTGACGCCCGTACGTCGTGGCAGGCAGCCGCCCTGCCTCCTCAGCCGAAAGGACGGCCCATCAGGGCATGCTCAGTTTGCGGCCAGACAGAAGCGCAGCTGGGGCGGGCGCCCAAGGCCTGTGGCGGCTGCCGCAAAGTCAGGTGCGCTGGGGATCGACAGTACGAATCCGCATGGGACGCGGGTGCACATAACGCGATCAGCACCACCACCTATCATCCTTGGCTTGTTGACTTGTAGTCTGAACGACAGCCACCTCTCAATGTGAACCTGTAAGGTTGACATCGGGCCGGCTTTGTCGATGCTGACAAACCAACCGCACATTTACGCCCCTGATCCCCCCTGCTGGCTGCAGGTACTGCGGCGAAGAGTGCGCCAGGGCAGCCTGGCCAGCGCACAAGAAGGAGTGCAAGGAGAGCCAGCAGCAGCAGCAACAGCAGCAGCAGCATCAGCAGCAGCAGCAGCGGTGATGTTGTTGCAGCAGCATTGGCTTGTTACGGTTCTAGTAGTTACGGCGCAGCGCCCGCTTAGGGCTCAGCGACCCAGGGCATAGCCGAATCGGCCCCTCAGCCCCTGTGAACTGGCACAGAAATTCGGCGCGCTGTAACCATGCAGATGCACGCCCCTAAAAATACGGACGGGCGCCGGGCGGCCCGCGGCGGCCCGAATCTCGCCCAAAGCGCGCCCGGGATCTCTCGGCCGCGGCGTGCGCGGGAGGGGCCGGCTCCGCGGACGCCGGCGCGGACGGGATCGGCGCGGCGCGCTCCACGATCTGCGACGGTCGCCCCGCCCATACGGCGCGTTTCGTGCGCGCGCCAGCAACGGGGGCTG